AATGTTTGCAGCGGGGAAGGATGAAATGGAGCAATTTCTTAGGTATGATGATTGGTTAGAATGCAGCCATGGGGCTGAAACAGGGATTGATTTTCATTCCCTTGAACTCCAGAGAGCTCTTGGGTGCTTACTGAGGGCTGCACACATGGGTACGGGGAATGTGGCATAAAAGAGCCCCAGCCCTGTCCTCAGGGAGATCACAGCCTCACTGGGGGAGGCAATCAGCTTCTGAGGCTCCTGTCTGAATCTAGGATGGCCCCTAATGAAATCTGAGAAGTCAGGAGGAAAAGCTGGCAGGTCGGGCAGAGCATTATTTTTTGAGGCGTGCTAACTTCAGTGTGCCAGTGAGACATCAGGATGGAGAGGCCCAGCTAGTCCTCAGAATAGGTGTTGGCGCCACAGTCTTCGCTTGTGAAGTCCTGAGCCCAGTGGAGAAACAGAAGGAGCAGGAGGGGTAGAGGTGTCCAGGAAGTAGAATCAGAAATGGAGGCAGAAGGCAGTGCCCACAGAACAGGCTTCAGGCTCCCCTGTCACATCACAGGCTCTGGTCTCTGTGATTGCCAAGTGGGGCTAATGGACTCAACCAAACCCATTCTCCTTTAAGTGTTGCTCAAAAACACCAACACTGTTACCAGTGATATGGACTAAACTGTGTTCTCAAAATTCATGTTGGAGTCCTAATCCCCCATACCTCAGAATGTGACTGTACTTGGAGACAGCGTCTAAAGAGGTAATTAAGTTAAATGAAGACATTAGGGTGGGCCCTAATCCAATATGGCTGATGTCCTTATAACAGGACATTAGGACACAGACAGGCTCAGAGGGAGACCCTGTGAAAACACAGGGAGGAGACAGGCACCTCCCAGCTGAGGAGAAGGCCTCACAAAAAATTAAACCTGCCGGCCGGGCGCGGTGGCTCACGCCTGTAATCCCAGCACTTTGGGAGGCCGAGGCGGGCGGATCACGAGGTCAGGAGATCGAGACCATCCTGGCTAACACGGTGAAACCCCGTCTCTACTAAAAATGCAAAAAATTAGCCGGGCGAGGCGGCGGGCGCCTGTAGTCCCAGCTACTCGGGAGGCTGAGGCAGGAGAATGGCGTGAACCCGGGAGGCGGAGCTTGCAGTGAGCCGACATCGCGCCACTGCACTCCAGCCTGGGCGACAGAGCGAGACTCTGTCTCAAAAAAAAAAAAAAAAAAAAATTAAACCTGCCAATGCCCTGGTCTTGGACATCTAGCCTCGCCACCATGAGAAAATAACTTTCTGCTGTTTAAGCCATCCAGTCTGCACAGTGCATTGTATGGCAGCCCTAGCAAACTAACACACCTGGCCATTGTTCAGCAGGTGACAGCTTTAGGCAAGAAGGCCTCTAATCCTCTTCTCCTTCTGCCAAACAGGCAGTGCCCTCCCCACTGAGCAGAACTTCCTTTCCCCTTCCCCTTTCCCACAGGACCCCACTCCCACACACCTACTCTCATCCCGACAAGAGCGATAAAAGGATTTTTAGAGCCCTTCAGGTTGCAGTTTCTCACTTTATTTTTTAAAATATCTCCTGTAATATGGGCAGACAAAACAGTGTTTGTCCCTTGGTAAAGACTCCTCAGATATATTTCCAGTTTGCAGTTCATGTGCACTAAACTGTAGTTGTTTTAACTCCACCTGGACGCCCCCAGGCAGCCTATGCATTTTTTTTTTTTTTTTTTGGTCTTAGAATTAAATGCAAAGAAGAAACAGAGGGATAAGAAATTCAGCCGCATGCATCCTCTTCCTCTGTGTCCCAGTCCCCAAAACACACCACACAGAGAGAGGAGAGCACATGCATCCCCTTTCCCTGGCAAGTGTCCTCTCACTCAAAAGTTGTGCCCTTGGGACCCAGGCCACCTTCCACCTCCTCCAGCACATACAGCCTGACAGCACAGCATCGTTCAGTTACAAGCCCAGGTCTCCCTGACAGCCCTGACCTGACTTGGGGTCCTAAGAGCTGAGTTCTGACAAGCAAGGAGAGTTGGTGATCAAGGGCAGCAGTGCAGCCAGCTCCAAGGACTCTGATGCTTGGCATCAGGCATGCCAAGTCCCAGGATGGCAGGGTGCATCTTCTGCCTTTCATCCAGCTGTTTTGAGATCTCGACGCCCTTGCCAGAGGAGATCCATGTTTTACCCCTTGCCCTGACCAAGCTCTGAGAGAAGTTGAAAAAGTCATCAACTTGATCTGTAGTTCTGCCCACCCACCTTGTGAAATTAGGAATATCCATGCAAGGGACTCTTTCCCTTCCTTGGATCTGACTAAGCCCTCTGTTGTCCCAGGGGTCCTTCTCTAAGGCCGACGAGATGGGACAGTGAGAAAGAATCCCTGACATTGGGTTCACCACCGTGGCTCTCACCCAGGAAAATGGACTTCGGGAGCAGCTGAGCCTGCAGCTGACAGATAACAGCTGTGGGGTGGCCCCAGCTCCTTCCCACTGGCAAATTAGCACCTGCCAGACCTGCATCAAAATAGCCAAAAGACTCTGGATCATTGGATGCAAGCTGACATCTGCTTGAAGGGAAACTGAAAGGAGAAAAGTGGTGGGGTAGAAGACAGAAGACAGGTCTCAAGAAAACTTCTCAAGAAAACTTCTGTCCTCTCTGTATCCATACAGTTCAAACAAACTTACCAATGCCTGGGCTAACTACTGGAGTGGAGGTCCTGGGGGACAAAGCTAGACAGAGCTCTCAGGGTCTCAGTTTCCATCTGCATAATCGATGTACAAAGACATCTCTCTCATGGGGTTGTCGTGAGTATTCACGCAGGGCCAGTCCCTGTATGCACCAGTACCAAAGGACTCATCCCAGTACACGACAGCTGTTACTACTGAAAGAAGTCAGGGAAGGAAGCAGGAGGATGCCATCAGTCCCAAGACTCAAGGGCAAGGATGCTCTCATGGAGTAAAATAGGAGGTGTAAAGCCAAGATTACGAAGAGCAGGACACCAAAGGATCTGGTGATAATGTTCAAGTTGTACATAACGAACAGCGTAAGGGATTCCCTTTTAGTTACGGGTGGGTAGAGATGCATACCAGGTATGCCCTTGGAACCCAGGCCACAATCCACGGCCTCCAGCGCATACAGCCTCACAGCCCAGACTCTCCAGAGTCTACTTTCATTTTAGCAGGATTTCTGCTTCTTCAACAATTTTGTTTCGAAGCTCTTTGAAATAAATTTGATTTCAGGTCAACTGGATGAGAAGCACAGGGCCAAGCTAGATCCAGGTGAGACCTCAAAGGATGCAGAGGAGCATCCTTTCCTGCCAGGATATCACCGCCATGGAGCGCACAACACTGGCTCCCAATATTGCTTTGCAAACGCCTGAGTGCAGAGAGAGGGTTCTCTTTTGACCACCTCTTTGGGCCACAAATGTTTTCCCTCTTGAACCTCTCTATTTTGCTGTCTAAAAATTTCTTTGTTGTTTCTTGTGACCACAAACATAATCCAAACTATTTTTTAAAATCTAACTCTTACCGAATACGCAAGGACACCAGCAACAACAATTTGGCACTGAATTTTTGTGTTCGTTTTACAAAGAAATAAGTTAAACCATGAAGGTTTCTCTGTGGTTTGAGTTTTCAGTGAGCAAGTGATCTTTGCCATATTTTCATGCCAGCAAATTTAGGTAGAAACCAACCCATGTTCATGGTAGTCAGCCATGCCCCTGAGGAACACATGGATTGTCTCCAATTTTGCACTCTCCCAGACACTCCTGAAGTAGACATTTATTTGGAAACTTGTAGAAATGTTTCTTTAATACAAATTCTTAAAAAGTAGGAATGCTGGTTATATTCATACAATGGAATATTATTCGGCCTTTAAAAGGAAGGAAATTCTGACCCCTGGTACAACATGGATGGGCCTTGAGGACATTGTGCTAAGCGAAATAAACCAGTCACCAAAGGACAAATACCATATGATTCTACTTACATGAGGTCATAGTGAATTCACGGAGACAAAGTAGAAGGGTGGCTTCCAGGGACTGTGGGTAAGGGGAAATGGGACTGGTGTTCAGTGGCTACAAAGTTTCCACTTTGCAAGATGAAAAAGTACTAGAGATCTGTGGCACAACAATGTGAACATACTTAACACTACTGAACTGTACACTTAAAAATGATTAAGATGGTCAACTTTCTGTTATTTGTATTTTACCACAGGCAAAACTAACAATAAAAAAGAAAAGGACTGACCAAAATAAAAATTGGGAATGCTGGATCCAAGGGTGAGTCCATTTTCAATTTTAATAGATATTGTTGAAGTGCCCTCAAGAAAAGCTAGACTGATTTTTGTTCTCGTTACAGTGTGTGAGGGACTTCCTTGTCCACTTTTTCTCCATCATGATTTGGTAACAGCGAATGGGAGAGAAAGCGGGGAGAAACTGATACACTTTACCTGAAGTATAACAAAACAATGTTTGTCTGCTCAGCTATGTCCTGATCCTCAAGAGTGGCCACAAAGTAAATTGGGTTGCAGCTTTCTGCAGGGTAGGTACAGATATCTGTGATGCCTCCAGAAACTCCAGTTATTCTGGTTCTCTTCCCCCATCCCACTCCCTAACCTTAAAATGATGACTTCAAAAATCACAGACTGGCCTACATAATTCCCTTAAACAGCTGTCCTACAGAATCACTAAAACTTGGGTTAAAAATAGTCTCAGTCTCTAAAAGAAGGCTGGGTCCCTGGAACAAAGCCCTCTTAGAAATGCTCCCACCTCCACAGAGGGAACACAAAAGCTGACCCACGTGGCCCCAGGGTTCCTCATCAATCCTGACCCTCTCTGCCACCGTAGAGAACAGAGAAGCTGCCTGAAATCTTTTCACATCCTTGGTCCATCTATGAAACAGAAGTCGGAAGGGAGGGAGAATAATGCAATTACAACCAAGCAATGCATTTGTGCCATTATTTCCATTTTATAAATTCCCAAAGGCGCTCAGAGAATTTAAAATGTAAGTAAGGTGTCTGAATTCACAGTCAGTATGAGAAGCCACATTTTAATCTTAGGTCTTGCTCCAAAGATACTGTGATGACAGTACCCTGTTCCCCATTGCAGCCCATCCCCTCAAAATATCCTATCAGATATTCAGGTCACATCATTTATGAGAAGAGTAAATTCTGAGTCTTAAACAGAGAACATAAAGTTCTGAACAGGGTTAGAATTCTGCAGCACCAGGAGGAAGGCTTCTAAACAACCCATCTCAAGAACGCCTGGTACCTTGCTGATGGCTTCTCCCTCCTCCTTAATGAGCAGAGAAATGCATTTTCCTGAGTGGCAGGTGGGAGTAAGGATCAGCTGTCTGTTGTTGGCAGGCCTGATTTCTCCGCTACCAAAAGGAATTAAAGTCTATCGGGTTACACAGAGTTTTCCAGGGAACTCTTCTTAAGTTTTGCACCATTATGGTGGTGGTTGTGAGAGGGGAAGGTGGTTCCTCAAGCACCCACCTGGGCTTTTGCTCTACAGTTAAGATCTCTGAAGCAGATTTAGAGTGACAAGATCAGGGGAAGCCAGTCTCCATTGTCTAGGAGAGATATTTGTGGCAGAAAGGAGAGCAATTTCCTGCTGAATTGATTCACCATCCTCTGAATCATGAACTTACAGATGACCTAGGACACAGGTTTCTACATGGTATTGTAGACCTGGGACACAGCTACATGGTATTGATCCAGGAACATGTTTAAGGCATCCCAGATGCCAGATTAGGCTGCTGGAGAAGGCCAGGGAGAAATTTATTATTTTATTTACTTTATGTGTGTATGAGAGAGGGAGGGAGCATGGGAGAGAGATGTTGGGCATCGAGCAGATTATGATGGTTATGGCTGGAGAATCTCTGAAAGCTGGCTTCTTGTCCTGCAAGGACCCTGAAGGAGAAAAATGCATAAGGAGAAATGACCAAGAAGAGTAGCACAATGTTGTTTCGTTAGCTACATACCATACCCCAGACCTGCAATAAAAGTATACATCCAAGGCCCCCACCAATCATATTTCAGTACCCAGGAGTCCCGTGCCCAAATAGCCCTGAGCCACTGATGTACTGGGCCCAAGCAGAGGCCAAGCATGGCTGGTTGGGGAAGAGGGGGTGCAGCCATGTAATGAGTTTGGATATATGGCTGAAATGTTCACACACATGCCAGGGAGGCTGTTCATGGTATAGGATAAAGCCAAGGGTGGGAAGAGAAGGAGAGGGGAAAGGACACCATGTTCTTATCCCAGACCCCACAAATGTTAGGAATGGGCCTATCCATCTGTAACAGCCAGAAGTGTTGGCTGCCAGTGGCCCAGGGGAACCAGAACCCAGGAGTTCAGTGGAAAGAACCACGTAACACTGGTAAGAGGGACCCACCCCTCCTGCAGGTTGTCCCCGCAACCAAGTCTCAGCTGCTGATGAAGGCCTGCACAACTAGGTAGTTGCCAAAGTGCACATGGGAGGCAAATGACAAATACTTGGTTCTAGGGGTGGGTTCCAGAATCCCTTCAGGGCACTAGGGTCCTAGGTACTATGGTACCTAGGCCATGAATGAGGTGGACGAAGCCCTTTCTTCCAATGCTGACTGTGTAATACATAGGATCCAGTAGTTCTGCTCTGCCACCTACCTGCTCACTGACCTCAGAACACCCCTCGCTTCACACATATATAAATGAGTAGTTCTCATTCTATATTTTGGAAAATTGTTAAGATTGAAAGGTCACAGATGTGACATGCCTAAGAGTACCGGACATGCTGGAAGTCCTTGTTTTGCTGCATAACAAACCACCCCAAAATTTAGTAACTTAAAACAATAATGATTTATTAATTCTCATAATTCTGGGGGTCAGAAATTTGGGCAAGTCGCAGCAGGTGGTTTTCTGTTTCATTTGGCCTTAGCTGGGGTCACTGACTCAGTCGCATCCTGCTGTCACCTAAGCCGAAATGTTCAGGAGGGCCTCACTCACGTGAATGGTGCCTGGGGCTCCTCTGCGTGGCCTCTGCACATGGCTAGCTCTGGCTTCTGCACAGCCTGTTGGTCTCAGGGTATTCGAATTCTCACATGGCAGCTGGATTACCCCAAAAGTTCCAAGCCTCTCAAAGGCCAGACTTGGAAATGGCACAGTATCACCTCAGCTGCATTCTGTTGGCTGAAGCAAGTCCGGTTGTAGAGGAGAGAGACTCCACCTCTGGATGGGCGAAGTGACATAGAGATGGGAAGGAATTGATGGTGGCCATCCTTGAAATCTACCTATCCCTCAACTTTTTTTCTTTTTGAGACAGGGTCTTGCTCTGTCATCCAGGCTGGAGTACAATGGCGCAATCATGGCTTACTGCAGCCTCCACCTCCTGGGCTCAGGCAATCCTTCAACCTCAGCCTCCCAAGTAGCTGGAACTATAGGCGCATGCCATCACACACAGCTAGTTTTTTGTTTGGGGTGTGTGTGTGTGTGTGTGTGTGTGTGTGTGTATGTGTGTGTGTTTTGATAGACAGGGTCTCACTATGTTGCCCAGGCTAGTTCAACTCTTTGTTCAGTTATGAATTTGCATTTGCTCTCTGTATATTTTCCAACTTTATTTTTTTTTCAAGAAAGTAGCTAGGACTTTAGGCTCTCTTTGTTCAGGGGTGAGGCAGGGGCCAAGGGATGTCATGACCAATAGGGACCTGCCCTTATCCTCATGGCAATACAATGGGGAGGTGAGAAAACTTCAGGGGGTGGCTCAATTGTTCATCTCCAGAGGCCAGACCAGATACCTCACAGCTTCTAGTCTTGCCAAGCTTGACTTGGAGGGAGAAGAATCATCCATCTTCTCAGATACCCTATCAGCTGGGACAGGAACGGGTTAGCAGCAGCCATGATGAACTGAAGGAAAGAGGGGCTCCCTCATTTTCCCCATACCAGATTGGCCTCCTAATACTTCAGAGATCCCAAGGAAGCAGAAAGGCCTAATGACTTAGGCCACATTTCCCACTAAAGCAGGAATACGGTCCAGAGTAGGATTTGAATTAATTTAAATAAAATGTGACATTTCTTACATGACTGAGATTCCATGTATTATACTGTTAGACCATTAAACCCCAACATTATCAAAGCCATACTGAAATCAGAAGGAAACAGAGGAAGCTCATATCCAATGCCATTAACATTTACAAATAAAATGGAATGCCTCATATGTGTATATAAGGTGAAACCTGGAAGTTGCTTTGTTGAGATCTGAGATGAGATATTTACAGCCTTGGTCATTTTCTTAGGCCACAGGAGTGATCCTCCTATCCAGGCCTGAAGGGCTCTTTCTGAGAGCTCCAGAGTGCGAAGTACAAGCCCTGTCCATCTGCCAGCCTCATCCCTCTCACATCTCCATGAACTGGGAGCCCATCTGGCAGCACTAGACTCAGCCCCTTGGGAGGAGCCCAGAAAAGCCTCTTTGACGTCACTAGAGAGATTAATAGCTGATGTACTCTGGTCGCCAGTGGGAGACCTTGGTGACAACTAGAACCTATTATGAACACTAGTATTTCCTCTTTCCACACTACCTGAGAGCAGGTGCAACATAAGCTTTAAGTCACACAGAGCTCATGGCAGTTGGTGCTGGCCAGGATGTCCAGCATTTTGGGACTCATTTTGGACTACAAGTGACCACTCCAGGGAACCAGAGGCACGCTCCCCAGGAAAAGGTGAATTACAGCATCTTCGTCCCTAGGTTTGGGAGTAGTGCAGTGGATGACTCTTGTATGTAAACTACAATGCTCAGGGTAGTGAAGGTTGAGGGTGCTGAAGACAGTAAAACTGGCAACTGTGGGAGCAGTGCACGCTGTGCTGTGCCATCCACTGGGAATGACTCTGGGCAGCTGCTCTGTCCCGTTCTTGAAGGACAGAGGCCAAGCTGCTCCAGGTGGGTGACAGTAGAATACACACAAGTTTCCCTGCTGGGCCCCATACTAATAGGAAAACACTATTTTTTCTATAGGAAAACACTATTGCCAAAAGATGAGTGAGAGACTGAAGAGAATGAGCTCTCTAATGCCCAAGAGCTGGCACACTCTGCACTAGTAGGCAGGAGTGATAGGCTCTGAGAAAGAATTGCTGGCATCTGCTGTTGACCTTGGCGCCTGAGTCCTTAGTGGAAAGGGTGCTAGTTAGAATCAGAAAACCCAGGTCCATGTATCAGCCCTGCCCCAAACCAGCTCTGTGACCCAGGGCAAGTTGTATCATCTGGGCCTCAGTTTCCCCACCAGTGATTTCGTAAAGTACTGAGGTGCTAGCACAGAGCTTAGGATGCTGCTAGCTCCCGTGTCAGTTTGTTCTTCCTGGAAGACTGGACTCTTGTTGCAGAGAGAATGTGAGGAGAACAAGAGCTCTTGGTTAATCAGGTAGGGGTGTGTGTGTGTGTGTGTGTGTATAGAGAGAGAATGTGAGGAGAACAAGAGGTCTTGGCTAATCAGGCCAAAGGGTGTGTGTGTGTGTGTGTGTGTGTGTGTGTGTGTGTGTGTGTGTCTGTGTTGGTGGAAGGAGGGAACAGTCACCAGAGGTTTATAGGGCCCTCTCCCTTTCCCCAGCAGGCCTCAAAGAACCCAAACAGCATTCTGAATGCTTAACACTGATTGCAAGGAACTGAAGTAAATGTCTAAGGCACTTAGAAAAACAGTTACTTCATCATGATGGGTTTTTAGAAAATGAACTATCCCTGAAGATTCACTTCCTTGACTGGGAAGATAGACAGGAGGTACATAGGTGCTTATCCAGTGGCTGGATACATGGGGTGCTTGTGAGGCAAGCTAGTGGGATATCATGACAAAGCCCCAACTTGGGGGAACCCTCTGTGCAGAAAATGTCCCAGCAGGCCTAACTGCTGCCCTTTGAAGGGTCTGCTTACTGAGTCTTGGAACTTGGATTTCAGGATGGCTCCCAACACCCCTAGAACTGATCCACGTGGCTCACAGCGCCTAAGCGGTTTGTATAAACAATGTGGTTTATGCTGAACGCTACTTTCCTTCTGAGACTCTGGAACTTTGGTATATGCTAGGCAGAAGATACCCATATGACCAGCTGCTAGTAGAAACCCTGAGCTCTGAGTCTCTGATGAGCTCCCCAGATTGGCATATTTCACACAGCAAGTTGTCACAACTCATTGCTGGGAAATGAAGCCTATTCTGTGTGACTCTGGAAAGGAGCCCTGGAAGCTTACGCCTGGTATCCCCTACACTTGGCTCCATGGGCCTTTCCCTTTGCCAGTTGTGCTTAGTATGACTTTGCTATAATCAATCAGAGCCATGACTCTGACTACATGCTGAGTCCTGTGAGCCCTCTTAATGAATTACGAAGACTAAGAGTGGTGATCTTGGGGGACCCCAGATACACATCCCCCATCCTGGACTTCCAGGCAAGTCCAAGACACCAAAGCCACCGCTACTGAACTGGGCCCAGGATTCTGGTCATTAAGGGAAGTTACTGACTCTTCTGCTGAATTCCATTCTTCCCTCCTAACCTCCACACCCCCACTCTAAGGAGCTTTATGAGTTGAGGAGTCAGATTTTGGGGGGTGGATCTCTCAGGTAGTTCTCCTGGACAGTGCTAATAAAGATATGACAGCAAGATCACCTGTCCCATTTTGAGCCTCTTTAATCTTAAAGGGTAAGGTCAGATGCTTTGCTTGCTAAGACTCAGTTGTCCTGCTCACCTGATGCAAGCAAACACAGGCATCACAGCACCAAGACTGGAGAATACTCAAAACCCTGGCAACAGCTTACAGAACCACTCTGGATCAGGCAGGAAGGGACCTTAGACCACTTTCCCAAAAGGGGAAACTGAGGCCCAGCTGGCTTATGTAAATGCATTTACCACCCATGCAATACACATGTCTATCACCACTCTTTTCTCACATTTCCATATCTCTCCTACACTAGATCATGAGGCTCCTACATAATGCAGCATGAAGGTGCTCCGTGTTGAATAGACCTGATTCACCCGGCATTACACAGCTCGTTAGGAACAGGAGAGAAGTTTTATTCCAGGTCTCCTGCCTTCCAGGGCAATGTTCCTTGTTGGGAAAGCCTCAGTACATGGTACAGACAAAACTCCTTACTGTCCAATCCGTGCATGCTTGGGAGCATCCAGATTGGAAAGAATGTGCACGAGGCAGGCCCTTGAGAACACCCACCAGCTGGGCGTCCTGGACTGGGCTTTTTCTGTGTCCCTTGATTTCTGAATCTCCGAAGGCAGAGAAAGCTTCTGTCCTAGCCAGCATCAATCAGCTGACCAGGGGGAACGAGCTCCAAGACTTACCCCCTTACTCTGAGTAAAGACTGGAAATAAAACAGCAGCATGTAAGAGAAATGCTTTAACTTTATAAAAAAATGTGATAATACAGCAAGATATTATTGGGGTTTTCTTTTTTTCTGTCAAGTAAGAAAAAAAAATACCTGGAATAAAAATTAGAAACATAATCTAAGAAAAATTGGAAACAAGCATTTCAAGGAAACAATTTGGAAAGACAAGGAAGAGAAAACAATGAGCAGCATGAGCAGCGAAAGCAGCAACATGGGGGGAAAGCTGGCTCTGCTGTGAGGACAGAACAATCAAAGACCAACGTGCACCTGGCCTTCCACACCAGGCTGAGCTGAGGGGTGGGGGGGGTAAGGGTGGGCAGTAACCATCAGAGAGGCACAAAGGCTTCCCAGGTGGCACCACACTGATGGCCGCTGGCTCACTGTGCGAAGAGGGTAGGCAATGGCCTCCTGCAAACAGGCCCAGATCCGCCCTCTTATAAGGCCTGCCAGCCATGTGGCAGTGACGGATTTGGCTTAGCTGGCTTCCTCCTCTGTCCACTTGCTCCAGCCTGAAGCTCTGCAGGTCACTGTCCCACAGTGATGAGCTCAGCAAGCAGAAACTCATCAGAACGTCAACCTAAGCTAGGGTAGCAAACTTGCCAGGGAGAACCAAAAACACTAGATGTACAGGGCTGTGTACAAAACACTTTTTGGAATGTCTGCACCATAGCCAAGGCAGAGTTAGGACCACTTTGAAGAGGCAGCTGGAAATGCTCCCAGCAACATTTCCCAGCCTTTCCCTCTAGGGAAGGGACATCCGAAGAACACTGGGTGAATTCTTGACTACATTCTGAGGTAGTCTAACTGTGACTTGGCACAGGTAGCTAAGAATGATCACAAAAAACCAAGGGAGGGAAGGCAGAAAAGTTGCCACAGAGAGAAAAGGCTAAGATCTCTAACAGAAGAAACTACACTACAAGTGGGCCCAGAGATGACCAGAATGTGTCCTGGGCTCGGGATGGCCAGTGACAGAGCCCACCCCTGGGCACATACAGCTCTCAGAGCAC